GAGTTTATGTAACATGTGAACAGTGTTAATGAGTTGCTCAGATTTAGAGAAACAGCTTCCAAGGTCAAATCTTTACCTACTCCAGTTGCCAAAGAAGTGTTATAATATGCTTCATTGATGGTGGGTCAAAATGTCTGTGTTTCACATTTTAACACAAAACAAAATGTGCATTTCCCAAACGAATACAAAAATCTGAACACACTTATCTTTCCATTTTATTTGTATCTGGATTTTGTATAATTTATTTCCAATTTACACACCTTTTTCTCTCTCACACACAAATGTGTACTTTAAAGAAAACTGCAGGTAGTGTGTACATTCTGGAAAAGTGTGTACAAATATTTATTTACCATTTATTTAATCACATTTGTATAGTTGCCCATCTCATGTAGTGACTCTAAATAGAATATACTGAGTGAAGGTACTTTAAAATTGTTTTATTGTGAACCGCCCAGAGTCACTTCTTCGTGAAATGAGTGGTAATTCGAAATATACTGTAAATGAATGAATGAATGAATGAAATGAGTACTTAAAATTAATCTATATGGGGGAAATGAGGACAAAAATGCATACAGAATTTCATCATGAAAATTTGTTTGGTGAACTTTCATAATCTGATAACTGGATGGAACTATTTTATAACCAAAAAGAAAATGAATGTTTCAGAAAGCAAAATAGGTTCTTGTTGCCTTGGCGTCTATATGGTTTCTCTGTTTGTCAGCTCTTCTCTCTGGTGCTGCCATCTTGATTTGCAAGCCCCCAGGATTGAATGTGGAAAAGAGACCTCTGGAGGTGCTTTTTAAAATGTGGATTTTGGACTCTTCAGGTTCAGATAAATAATTTCTGGGCTGTTTCCCCACCACCTTTCTTTGAAAGGAAGCCCCAGTACAATTGTAAAATCAGTTAAGAACTGGAAAGGGGTGGTTTGTCTCTGGGAGGTTAAGCTGTCTTCTTGTAAAAACAAACTTCAAAGCCATCAGGTTAGGGGTGGAGAACCCTTGATCAGCTCCATGTGCTCCCTGACATGAACTGCATGTTCTGGCAGCCTTTGTGCCTTGCTTCCCTGAAGGGATTAGCATTGTGTCTACGCGCTTCTGTCGCTCTTTTTTAAGGATAGGCAGGTTCTTCCTTTTGCTGAAGTATGTGTGGCAGCTTGACAGATAGCTTTCTGCAAACACACCTTACTAGTGACATGGGGGGGATATTATCCCAGATGGCGTTACTAAAGGATCTGCATTTAGTGGGGCTTATTCTTGGGAATTGGGTTAAGGATTATACTTTCAATATAACTAAGCAATGCAGGATATATTTCCCTGCTCTAAGTTAATGCTTTTAGCTCATGGTGATTTTGCAGGCTGTCCTGACGAAATCAGGACATTTGACAAGCCCAACCGTAATTAATAGGCAATTGATTATCTATCATATGATTTGGTTCCAAATTGCTGTGACATTCTTTGTCCAATCTTTGGCACCATTCCATAGAGTATATTACATAAAGTAGTCTGTAGCTATTTTTAATGGGCATTACATAGAACACTTCCATTGCATACATTAACATCATAAGTGTTCTGATGTATCTATGCGAAAAGTTTGCCCTTGACTAGATTTCTCTGATGGCTTCTGAAAATCAGTCTGTGATGCTAAAGAAGTTACAAAATACTGATAACTATTCTAGTTAAGGGCAAGAAGCTTTCCAACTCTGAGGAAAAATGAACATTTCTTGAGAACAATTAGGAGCAGAGAAATGTTCCAGGAGACCACCAAGCTCTTTTGTCTGCTTTTATTTGGTCTAATTTCTCCTTTTGAAAAGCTGATTTTCTTTGAAAAGTACGGTGTCACTGCTGTTTTCATGCATTACATTCTGACATGTGCTATAGTTAGTTGAGATCTGGTAAATTCCAATATTCTGAACTGAATTGGGAAAAGATTTCATGTCTCTCTTAAGCAAAGCAGGATTCCCTCCAAAGCAGCTGGTCTTCAGTATTTCTTCTTTTCTGCTGACCACAGTAAAAACCACCATTTTGTTATATACAACAGGACAGCATCATAATACATCAATTTTTTTCAGGTGCTTGGTTGTACCCCCCCCCCCCCCCTTCAGAAGATCCCACACCTATGGCCTTTAAATTATGAGATTCCAGACCACAAGTACAATTTGTCTTTCTCCTGTTTGGGAGCTTTTCTCTGAACACACTTGGCAAAGTGCTGATGAGTTTCCTGTCATATTCTGGCCTACAGCCTGGAATTCCTTGAGTGAAATGAAACCAAACTGAGAGAGGTCCCAGGTTTGGAAAGACTTGGAGCAAAGAGGGTGCCTTAAGACACCCTGAAAGAATCAGCAGGTGAGGACAATTGATATGAACTCACCTGGGATGGTTCTATTTGTGCTGCACGAATATTCAGAGTCTTTAGTCTTAGGGAGCAAATGGTACTCTCTCAACAATGGGGAAGAGGAGAAGATGAACAAAAAAAGATTTCCCTTTGTCCTCATAATGCCTTGTCCTTCTTAAAATAGAGGGTCACTTATCCTAAGGGGAGACCTCACCACACAGCACACTTGCATCTAGTCACATCACTAGTTGGAATTGATCAAGTAGGAAATTGCAGAGCATATGGAAAGCAAGCCTTACTTCAGACTACAGTTAGGGAGAGTTAAGTTCAGCCTAGGAATGCTGCCTGGAGAGAAGCCAATGATTCAAGTTATAGCAGCTTTCGCCAATGACAATGCTGTCTGGGGATTATGGGTACTGTAATTCAACCCATCTGGGAGAATGCTTGGTTGGAGAAAGCTGATTTATATCAATTCATTCTACTCTGACCATCTGTTGTTGAATAATTCCTTTCTCCTATAGAAGAAAGAGCTTCACTGGGCCTAGGAGGCCTATCTATAGTGATCCCACAAGAACTCAGCATGGAGATAGTAAAGGTTGGGCTGGCTGGTAGAGAGTGGGACTCAACTTTAATATACTGGCAGCTGCTAGCTTGTGGAAAACTGATGTACTCTTTCACCCTTGCTTCGTAAAAGAGGGATACATAATCAGTCTTGTTCACATTCATCCTACTGTTACCAGCTCCAGCTCATAATTCATCACAGTTTTCAACAATCACCATTTGGAATCACATTCCTTATCTATGTATTAGTTTTATAACTGCCTTTATTCTAGGACCTCCAGGCAAACCAAGTAGGAGATGTGTGCAGGTTGTGGATAGCCACGTTGATGCGGTGACTTTGCAAAACTAAATCTTTGGCTTGCAGAACAAAAGTTATGGTGTTCCTCCAACATAACCTTGATAACCTGCTTTCCCTAACCAATTGAGTTGCTTCAAAGAGGTTCTTAACTTCAATCTTCAATGGCCCTCTGAAGATCTGTTGGCCTAGCTGCACTCCCAATTTCAATCTTATCCTCAGAGCAAAGGTCCTGTGAGGTAGGTTGTGCAGACTGGTCAAAAATCACCTAGTAAGATTTTATGGTCAAATATGGACTTGAATCTGGCTCAGTCCATTCTAGTCCTAGACTAAGTACTATGCTACATTGGCTCTCATACAGAGCATATGTGGCACCTGCCAAAGATTTCAGGCTACAACACATAATAAAAAGATGGAGACACAAAATGATTTTATAATCTCTTTAAAGAAATACATATATTTCCTAGGGGGTAAATCTCACTGAACTCCAAAGAAATCACTTTCATCATGTAAACATGCCTGAGATTGCCAAAAAGCACCATAATAAAGAACAAGAGTTGTATGTACACTGGGATGGAAGAAAACCCTTAAGCTTATCTTTCGCTCACCATATGATACTCCATTTTTCCGCTATAGAGAGAAAAGGGGTGATTCGAAAGCCACTGTTAATTTGCAAATGGTCCCTGAAAGGCTGAATAAGTTTACAGCTGGATCCTTAGAGCAAACAGTCTTACTATATTCTCAGCCAAGTGCAGCAAGGATTTCTTGCGTGCATGCGTGCCTTCTTGGCTTCTGTTTTGTGCTTTGTACCAGCAATGTGGAATGCATGGAGATATTAACAGTTGATAATGCTTATCTCCATGCTTTGAAAAACAGCCTGTTGATTCCTGCGCAGCAAACAGCAGTTAAAAGGCAGGAACTGTTCAGGCAACTTCCCCACCACTCCCCCATCTGCTCCAATTAGTTTGGGTAGAGTTCAGGTATTGAGAATTAATGGTGTGCTGTGCTCCTAAGTGCAAGCCAGACTCCCTGTCCCCTCTCTTCCCTCTGAGAAACTCACAGCAGGCTGGTGCTCAGAGTTCTGCCTGGGTATGGCATATTGTCAACAGACAATGAAGTCCAGTGTGGTTATAGGTAGTGTGTGTCTGTTCAACCAAGCTGGCTTTAAACTCAAGTCTCAAAAGATTTATTTTCTCAGAAAAGTTTAATTTCATTTTTTAGGATACTTGAAATTATATGTGGTAGAATGCATTTACTTCCTGCTGTTCTTCCTTCCTCTCTCCTCCATTTGTGTAGCCTGTCCTTATAAAACCCATTAGCTATGCTTGGAAATTAACAGTTGGCTTCATTAAATACAGTGCTGCCTAGCTGGTTCTCATAAAATCTTACAGGTGAGCAAATGCATTTACTTTCCATTAAATTTCTGTTCCAGGTAAAAGTTGGAGGCACAAAGAAATTGGAAAGGGCTAATGCCATCAGAGCAGTTGTGGATTAATGTAGATAATGTGGGCAGGTATGTTCTCAGAGAAAGGAAGAAATGGGAAAAATCTTCTTAAGAATGTAGACTGCATTGGTTTGAATTTTTATTGGGGTCAGACACTTGTTCCGTATCTAAAAAGGAAGAGTTCATCTTCCTGTTAATCTTTACAAAAATATTTTAAATTCAGCTCTTACTAGTTTTGGTTTCCACACTGCACTGCTGAATCATGTTTTGTTTGCCTAGATGTCTATTAAACCTACTCGATGTTTTTCAAATGGAGCGCTATCAAGTCAGGTGCCACTCCAATGATATTTGTGCAACACAACGCAGTAAAAAGGCAAAAGTTGATGCTTTTCTTCATATCTTAATAGTAACCGTAAGTATTCATTCACAGACTCTGAAAAGTACATACAGATTTTTCTGCAGATGTCATTTCTTTGGTTATATACTTGCAGTGCCTTCACGCGATTTCCCATTAGTTTAACTGCTGTTGAAAATTAGTCTCATTTTTTTGACATCAGTACTTGTTTCTTGTAGTGCTCTTGAAGGATGTCAAAAGCAGTTGTTCTGAATGTTGCAAAATGCACTCTTCCTGCTAAATTCATGATTACCATCTTGTTATCAAAGTATTACTGAATTTCTGCTTCATGTACTTTTCTGAATATGGAGGCTCATCAGAGCCAAAAGCCGTCAAGGTTTCCTCTATCTTTCTCCCAAAATCTGCTGATTTTTATTTTTATTTTTTTGCTTTTAATACTTTCCTCAAGGTAATTATTTGTAGTTAAGACAAGGAAATATATGTTTCTCTTTGCTTTTATGACATTCATATTCCTGTTAATATTTCATCACCAGTCCTGAAACAAAGTGTAACTTTCTCCAGGTTCTGAAATGAAGATTGCTTATGATACACTGCATCAAGATCAGGTAAAAATTCAGTAAAAATCAGGCAAACCATTATTTTCTGACTCCAAATACCATGTCTGGTTCTTCAAACCACTGTATATACTTTCATGAAAAACTTAGGAATTTGAACAGCAAAGAATTCCACTCCTTCCTCCCATCTTTATTTAGACATGGCTTCTTCATTAAAGAGGAAGCAATGTGTTTTAAACTGAAAGGGCCATGAGGAGTAAAGCTTGACTAGGAGAATCTCTACTATATATTTATTAGAACTATGCCAAAAGGCAATTCTACTTCAGTTTTGTCCTGATTCATGAAAGTGAAGGAAAACAATGAAGCATATTAAGATGAAACATTTATTGGCCCAAATTCTGATCAGCTCTTCTTAACATTCATCTTAGAGCATTCTTCATAGAACGATGACCTGATCACGCAATGATGTATCCAAACCTTATGAGGTCAGTCATCAATCTAAGAAGAAATTAAGATGGGACATATAAGCTCTTGAACAAATCAACCCAGAGTTCTCACTTGAAGCACAAATGACCAGGATTGAATTATCCTACTTTGGACACATTATTCAAAGACCTAGCTGTCTGGAGAAGGCTGTAATGCTGGGAAAGGTGGAAGGAAAGCAAAGAAGAAGACCAGGAACAAGGTGGGTGGACTCAGGTACAGTGGCGATGGGTGTATTGTTGGAAGACCTGAAGGACCAGGTTAGGGACAGATCGTCATATGGAGGAAATCTATCTATGTGGTTGCTAAGAGTCAACACTGACCTAATGGCACATAAGCAATCAAGCAGTCAATGTAAGTTCTTATGCTCTTCCAAGGACATGACAAGGTTTTATTTTTAAAAGGCAAATTAAACAGTAAATAATCCTGCCCACAACCAAGAAAGTGCTGGGATTTATTTTTCTTCTGAGAGACAACATGACATTTGTTTTTTGTATTCCCATCTTACTGCTGACAGATTCCCTTGAACTGAGCACAGTTCCTGGTGACTAGAATGGATATATGCTTGTAGTTTTTTGGGCAACAGTAAGGAAGTGGCTTATCATTAACTTCTTCCGGTATGTGTTTCTGACTTCTCATCAAGCCTACAGCCTGAGATTTCCTAATGGTGTCCCACTGAAGTACTAATTAGGATCAAGCCAATTTAGCTTTTTCAATCAGCCCATGTGGTGTAGATGCTGCCATCTGCTTAAACACTTACAAATTTGGCCAAAGGTAATCCTCCAAAGGTAGCTGGATATTGCAGCTGTTCCATTGTTGGTTTAATGTATTTAATTAATAAATGTTTAAGAAATGCTTGGACTGATCTTAAAGGGAATATTGACTGAGGATATGAAGATACATATACTTTGGTATGAAGTTGATTGTTGTGGGTTGAGAACCTGAATAATTTACAGTGAGTGTTGGATAGACAGTACTGTGCAATGAGGAGTATGGAACTGAAAATTAACATAGAGACCAAGACAGTTGTGTTTCACAGGGAAAACCAAGTGAATTATTCCAAATGATACATAAATGCTGAAAAACTAGAGCAAGGAGATGAGTTTTCATACCTCTGTAGAGCTGGGAAAAGGATGAATCCATTTTAAGATGTACAAATGGCATTAGAAAGATTGCATGTAGGAAGTGGTGTGTATAAAAGAATGCTTCTGCCACCTTTGTTGTTAAGAAGTAAGAGTTCGATATATTAGAAAAAGCATAAAAATAAGTTAAATGTAGTAGGAATTGGGTATTTAAGAACTGTGTGTGGTAAAACAAGAATGAATGGGTGTTAAACAGATGGAATAATACAAAAGGGAGTGTCCAGCATGAAAGGAAGCATGCTGAAGTGGTTCGGCCAGAGAGAATGAATGAGAATTGAATTGCAAAACAAATATATGAAAGAAAAATAAAGGAGTGAATAGGAAGGGGAAGATCAAGGAAGTTGTGGTTGCATGGAAATGACTGGATCCTGAAAAAGAAAAGGTTGAGAAATTTAAAGAACAAAAGACAATGTATGAAGCAGTATGGACATGATAAAAGCAGGATAGGTTTCAAAGATAGAAAGGTATGAAGATGGATAGTGAGTGGAGATGGTATAAGCTACATTTAACTATATTTCCTTTTCTTTCTTTTTTTTAAATTTCAGGACTGTAATTCTTTGTCTTATTATTTCATACTCTTTTTCTACGCTGTGCATAGTGTTACTTACCCCAAAAAGAATGAGGTTGATGGTATTTATTGTGTTAGCTGCCCAGAGTCACTGGTTTGAGATAGGCGGCTATATAAAATGAATGAATGAATGAATGAATGAATGAATGAATGAATGAATGAATGAATGAATGAATGAAATCTATGTCTGTACCATGTTCCAGGGTGCAATAACTCCTTTAAAAAGTGCTTGGGTGCAATGAATTGAATACAGTCCACATCTGAATTGCAAATGTTGCCTCTTTTAGAGTCCATAACAGGACTTCACTGGATTCAATTAAGCTAGAGCCCTCTGATTTCTGATCTGGGTCATCTTCTTGCACCTTCCTCTCTCAGTGATTGTTTAATTCTTTTCCTTTTCTCCAAATTTTCTCTCTCAATATCCTCTCAAAATTACCTCGGTCTCTTCCTCCATCCTCCCACCTCTGCTACGAAACAAAGCCAAACAAACCAAAAAACACTTCAATGTGTCTTGGCAACTAAAAATAATCCTCTGCAAGGGTCAATTTATTATTAATTTATCAAACTTGTTTTACTGCAGTCTATTGAAGTTTCCTGGAGGCTGATAATAAAAATGCACAGCTATGTGTAAATTAATCAATATATCTGTGGCAACATCACAGTCCTAATTAAGCCTTGGGGAAACCTTTCTGTGTGGTGGTGAAGGAAATCTTTGCACTCAGTCGACTGACAGATTTAGGGTAGCAATGCCAAGTGCTATATCTCTAACCCCATCACCCACAGAAAGCATGGCCATATATTATGACAGGATGGGAATTGTAGTCCAGCAGAAGACATGCCATGTCCCTGCTCTCTGGCTGGAACTAAGGTCTTGGTTTGGGCAAGACCACTGTAACTCTTCATTTCAACAGCCTTTAATTCTTGTTACCAGAGTCAGCAGGGAGAGCAGAGAGCTGAGACACAGCATGCATGCTTCAGAGATTAAGAAACGAGAGGAAAAAATGCTCTGAGCAACCTCATTAGCCCGATACAGATTCTTGGCACAGGGCAGGGTCATGATTGGGAGAGCAGAGGGAATGTTGAAATGATTTGCTAAACAGTCTGAATGAATTAAAAATCCATGGTTTAATCATCCAGCTTCTTGTCAGTCATGTTACAAATGCCCTGGTCAGAACAACCTTGAAATGGGCTGTGAATACAGCTCAGGAAAGCCAGCTGAATAGGAGATAGCCTCCCCTCCACCCCCACCCAGCTCTTTTCCTGAAGAGACTTCCTGTATGGTAACCATTTCAGGTTGCAGTCATAGCAAACTAACTCTGGAACTACACCTAGTGGCCTTCTCTGCATACTGCCATACGAGAAGGACACTGGACATTATTGTCCATTTCCAGTTAAATCACCATTAATCTAAGTCTGGAAACTGATTTTTTCTCACATAGGTTTTATATATGGCATGCCAATTTTGCCAACTTAGCCCTTATAATATTCATATGATCATAGAAGGTTTAGAATATATTTGAAAGTGTCTTCAGCTGCACTCAGAACACTTAAAATTACATTCACTTACATTTGTATGGTTATACATGTATACCTCTGACCTGAGTGTTGTTGTTTTTTCCTTCCTTTTTTGGTGCTTTTGAGTCAGTGTTGATTCCTGGTGACCGCCTGGACTAGACCCTGCAGTTTTCTTGGCAAGATTTCAGAAGTGGTTTGCCCTGGCCTGCTTCCTAGGGCCGAGAGAGAGAGAATGACACCCAGCTTGTTTTGTGCCTAAGGTGGGACTAGAACTCACAATTTCCCAGTTTCTAGCCTGATACCTTAATCACTACACCAAACTGGCTCTCTTTTCTGTCCTGAGCATGCCCACTAGATATTTACAACCCAACCAGCACAGCAACAGAAGGTGAAAAGGCTCCATGTGTGTCCTACTGACTCTCAATCACCACAGTAAGATCAACACCTACCGAGGCTGCTCCTTCTAGTGCATTCTATGCTGGCAAAGATGGAAGCATTTGGGGGCAATATTAGAATAATTAGGGAGGAAATAATTTTTCATCAGGGGAAGAAAGCAGAGGAAGAGGGCTTCACTTCTTTGTTCATTGTCAGGGAGGACAATGGCTTCCCTCAGTTCTACAGGCTTCAAGTCAAGAATGAATGATGGCAGAATCACCTTAGTTTCCTTGATAGCAAGATGTACCTCATACTTAAACTCATGGGTGACAAAGGAGTTATGTCTGTGTGTGAATGTGAGCTGATGATTATTTTGTCCAGAGAGGTGCATCTACTTTACGAGATATTTTCCTCAAGTCCCTTTTATTCTTTTTTTTTTTTTGGCTATTATGGGAACATACCGCAGGACACAAAACACAAAGGACCAAACCATGATAATGAGGGCACCTATTGTGAAAAGCACTGCTGGGTTGCTTTCTCACTATATTCATTATACTCCTGAAACATTTCAAATAATACTTCTCTGTCAAGTGAAGCTAAAGGTGAAAGAAAAAGAATGATGGACTACTGAGACCTTTGGTTTGATCCAGTGGGGCTTTTTCTTTGTTCTTGAGCTACATTTTAATTCTAAAGTATACAGATGAATGACTTGGGAAAGTCATTTTAAGGAAAAGAGAGAGAGGATTCTCAGAAGGTGTTACATGTGGGGAAGGGGCAAGTGGAG